GAGCCCTGGGTTCAGTCCTGATTAGTCTGATTCTTTAATAACCAGGAAGTTAAGTTCTTAATGCCTTCTCTCCTTCTCTCTCTCTCTCTTTTTTTTTTTTGGACTACTATGTAGTCCAGTCCAGGCCACCCTTAAATTTGATCTTTTCCTTCCTTGGCCTCCCAAATGTTGGGATTATAAGCGTTCACCACATCTGGCAAAATCTACATCTTACACAAAACCCAATCTATAAACATTTGTTCAGGGAGCTGCTAATCCCATATTCCCAGGTTCAACTGCTTCCAGGTGGGTTCAGGTGTGACCTCTAGAGCACCTTGAGGCAGCATGTGTTCTCTGATTGGCTCAGTGATACCCAGAGAAATCTTGGTGGGCCAGCCCTGCACTCAACAATGTTGTGGAGAGTCTTGGAAAAAGCAGAGGGGACATCTGTCCCCACGGAGCTGCTGGTCCTGTGGGGAGGCCATTACCACCAGAGAATGAGGACAAAGGGCAGGGAGACCTCGTCCCAGTCCACTAAGATTATGCTCTGTGACTCTGGGCTAGCAGCCTCCCCTCTCTGAGTCCCATTTTCCCTCTGAACCACAGGGGCCTTGGTTGGGGGTTTCTGCAGTGAGGTCTGGGGTGGGTCACAGCCTTACTAGCACACTGCACCCGTTAAGGCAAGAGATGCACACACTGAAACGTTTAAGCATGAGCCATGGCTGGCGGCCTCCCTAATGCACACCAGTTGGCAGAGCTGGCTCCTTGCAGGCTGTGAGCCGGCGGGCGTGGGTAGGCGCTGAGCAAGAGGAAGGAACGGTCAACAAGACAGCCACTGTCCCTGGCCAGATCCACCCACGCCACCTCCAACACATGGGTGAGCCATGCCACCAAGCCACCTTGACAGCAGCCTGTAGGGCTACACCCTACATCTGAGACAAATGCAGCTTCATCTGCTACCCTAGTTGGGGGAGGGGGCCTCGCTTCTGCTACAAAGGGGGGTGGTTGGTGTGGTGGGGGGCACTTGCTGGAGGGACAGGAACAGAGATCTGGACTACTCAGGGAGCTAGTTCTTTCCCTGTTGAGGCCTAAGCCTACTGGTGGGTGGGGTCCACCAGCTGATCCAGGAAGGTCTGAGAGCCTACAGAGTGACCCAAGGAAGTCCCTGCTTTTCTCTCTGCTCAGTGCTACCATGGGGCTGCAGGACATCATGCCAGTGCCCACCAGGACTGTCTCTGGAGGGAAGGGTTCAGTCTCAGTGACCAGATGGCCCCGCTCTCCATGTTTGGAGGTGTGGGTCCTCCTGAGAGGCAGAGAGTTAGGAATCTCTACCCTAAATGTGGTTCATTCCAAGACTGCTCAACACAGATTTGAAGCAGTGGTAACACAGTGTGTGTGTCTGACCCCTTGCTATGTCTGTACCTGGAGAAAGTCTTATCTCTGGAAGGCTCTACAGATCTGAACCTAAGTTGGGGCAGAGGGGCCAAGAGTTAGAGAGGTGAAGGATCAGAGGACCAGGGAGGGAACAGTCCCCTTTGTTAATCTGTTCCTGGTCCTAAACAGAAGCCACAGCTAGGCCCAGCACCCCTGCCCCATCCAGTGCTCTCTTCCTCTCCCAGGTGCCGCTCAGCCCTGGTTGCAAGGTAGGGGGCTGGGAATGAAGCAGCAGCCTCTGGAGACTCCTGGTAGCAGTCATTTCCACAGGGTCGGTGAGAGTGGCTATCTCTATAGCCTGTGTGTCCTTGTGTTTGTGCCCCATCTGTGTGCACCAGCAAGCAAGCTATTTCCAACACCCCTCCCCTGCCGCCCCTCCTGGGCAGCACGCCCAGTTCCCAGACTCAGCTTATATACTTCCTCCGGGAGCTTCATACACGCCTGCTCCCCTCCCGCCAGCAGCCAGCCGCCTGGCCCACCTGGTGTGGCTCCCCCTCCCCCACGGCCCCCCAAGCAGGCAGAACTAAAAGGCCCTTCTTGTCCTGCCTGGGCAGGCAGACCTTGGGAGAAGGTTCAGTTATACTTGGTTCTGAGACAGCTTTTCTAGAGTCGGGGTGGGCTGGGCCAGGGGCTCTGGCCCCTGCCCTGCTCAGAGGTCTGGGGCAGCATGTACAGTGCACACAACTCTGAGTCTGTCCCCAGCACCGCTGGTCTCCTGAAGTCATACTCAGAGGCAGCAGGATTAACCCAGGTTCTGTTTCTTGAACCTAGGGCTCCATGGCCTTGCTCTTTAAGATACTCCATCAGTAAGGCCTGGCACAGAGGTTCACACCTGTAATCCCAACTACTTAGGAGCTATACACAGAAGAATCATGCTCTAGGCTTGCCCAGGCAAAAACTCCAGACCCTATCCAAAAAATAACTAAAGCTAAGAGGGCTGGGGGCATGGTTCAAGTGGTAGAAGACCTGCCAAGCAAGCGTAAGACCCTGTGTTCAAACCCAGTACTACCAAAAAAAAAAAAAAAATGACATTCCATCAATTCTCAGCCCCTCCAGGCATTGCACGTAGAGCCCACTTCAGCCTCTCACAGTCAGTGAGGCCAGGCCGGGGAGGAGGTTCAGAAGCCACTGCCCGTCTACCTTCCTGCACTGGGATATGAAGTCCTTTCCTCTTTGCCTGCCCTTTTAGCATATCTCCTTTTCAGCCTCCCCCAGCATGTGCCCCGCTGCTGCGCACCTCCCCCGGAGCTCAGGAGAAGCTAGACACCTAATTTATCACCCAATGAGGCAGGGCTGGGACTCTTCCTGGGCAGCTGGGATTCTCTGTGGGACTTTGCTTCCTCTCTGGGGGCTCAGTTTCCCTGTCTGTTCAGTTGGGAAGTTGTCCAAAATGGTTTCCAAGGATATCTGACTCCCAGGCCTTGTGCTCTGGATGCAAGAGAGTCTCCCAGCATGCCTTACTCTGAGACATGAGAACTCAAGGGCCTCTGGGTCTGGGGGGGGGGGTCCAGGAGAGGTGAGAGTAGGGGGCTTCCTCAGATACAGGTTGCCCCTTTTGTGGTCCGGGACAGGGGTCTGTGAGATGGGCTTGTGGACAGGTGCTCTGTCATGGGAAAGAAATGGGTACCATTTCTTTCACTTCTTCCCCATTTCCAAATCCTTCCTAAAGACAAGGGTTAGTTTAACATTATAAAACCCCATGGACACCATGCTGCTCTCCTGCCCTAAACCTTCTTTGACTCCTCATTGCCACAGGGCCTAGGCTGTGGGCTTCCTTTAGCCATGTAAGGTTTAGTGGCTCAGCCCAATAGCGCTTCCTGGCCTGTGTTCAAAATATGCTTTCCTGACAGGTTTCTGGCCTTCCTATCTCCTCTCTCTCTTACACCTACCTTAGTGCCCTTGTTCAGGCTGAGTAGTGCCTAGAGACTCACTTTCCATCCTCCAAGGCTTGGTTCAAGGGCCACCCTCTGTCCCTCCCCAGCTTGCTTCTGATTTTCTCTTCTCTACATTTTTTTTTTTTCCAGTGCTGGGGATCGAACCCAAGGCCTCATACATGCTAGGCAAGTGCTCCACCACTAAGCTACTTCCCAAGCTCTTCCTCCACACTTTTCATCTGAATCTTTGCCTACAGCACTAGGAACTGCTGTTTGAGTTTGAATCTGCTTTTCTGCCTCCTGAATGAGTCCAAGTTCAGCCTGTCCATTTCTGGGCACCCCTCATCGTCTAGCACAATGCCCCACGTTGTCAGTGCTAAGAAGGTATTTTGAGAATGGTTCTCAGTCAAAGACCAAAGAGGTGGGCTGCTGGGATATTTCCTGAGGCAGAGCTGGGGGCTGGGGATGAGTTGACCCCCCAGTCTCCTTGGTGCTCCCTCACTGGGATGTCTATCCATCACCCAGGCTATGAGCTATTAGGGAGTGGGTCCTTGCAGTAGGAACAGGGGATCCACTCTGACTCACCCCAGTGCAAGGGGGGTCCTCCCTGACTCATTTCCCTTCTGGGTACCTCGTGATGCCCTCCTTGAGAGCTGGCTTCCCCATCTGATGGGAAGAAGGGTGTGGCATGGGTCCCTGAAAGGGAGACTCAGGCTCTTCTGCAAAATGTTGCTTTTGGGAATGGTCCCAAAAGATGTAGGCTGAGGCCTGATTCATACATGGGGAGTAATGACTGACAGGTCTTGAGGCCACAGATCTTATGGCATAACTAGACCATGCCTTCACTGAAGGAAGAATGGTGTAATGCTGGGAATCCTGGCATTGTGACAAAGCAGAGATGCGGGCTAGCACCTCTCTAGAAGGCAAACTTTCATTCAGTCTCTGCTGGGATCAGACACCAGTGCTTGGAACAGGGAGGTGTGGCAGGGCTGTCAGAGAGACAAGCCTTGCTGGTGCACAGGATTTCTGGGGGGTGAGAGCCCTTTTTCTTGAGGCTAAAGAGTGGGTGGTCCTGTCTGTCACCAAACAAGTCCTCTCAGCAAGGAGAGAGGAGATGGAGAAGCAGAAGGAAGAGGCCAGTCAGTCGGACCTCCTGGGAACAGAGGAGGGGGACCCGGAGAGGGCAGGGTGTAGAAGGCTAGAGGCAGCTGGAGGAGGTGGAGGCCAAGGTGTGTCGGGGGCAAACACAGGGTGAGGCAGGGTGGCTCCCTCTCCACTGCCCTCCTCACCGCACTCCCCACTCTCTGTCCAAGGCCTCCGGAGCGGGAATGCCCACTTCTGTCTTTGGGCACCAGTTTGGTCTCTCCAGCCTGTCTGTTGAACAGAGCCAGGATGGCATTAGTGTGGCTCCAGATGGTGGGTATCTTGTATCTTGGACAGTTCTGGAGAGCAGAGCCAGCCCTGGGCAATCTGACGCCAGGGAACCCTGGTCACCCGTTTGACAACTTGGGATAAGCAGACCCCCCCCCCCACATAACCTGAGATCAACAGCTTTCCCTAGAGGTCCTGTGTCCACTCCAGTGTGGACCCCAAGAGACCTCAGCTTGGCGCTGGAGAAGCGTAGCCCCCTGGACTGCTGATCCGGGGACCACTTCTGTCCCCTGGGGTCCCTTTTCCCTCCCCTGGGAAAACCCTGGTCAGGGTCTCACTCACCAGGAGATGCGGGTCTGACCCACAGAGCCAAGGTCAGGGTCAGGGCCAGGGCCAGGGCGGGGACTGGCGGCGGGAGCCTCGGGGGCCGCGGGCTGGGGCGCATCGCGGCGGCTGGCCGGAGGGACAGCAGGATTGGGCGCTGCGGAGTGGCGAGTGCGGAGTGGCTCCGGGCCGAGTGCCTCGCAGCCCGCGCACTTAACTCCAGGGGCGGGGCGGGCGCCGACCCGCGCTCCGGGCGGCAGACGGGCGGGGGCCCCGCGCCTGCCCCCACCCCCAACCTTCTTAAAGGGCCCGTGCTGGGTCAGAGGCGAGGGGACCCTTACTGCTATGTCAGATCCAGACCCCACCGTGGAGATTTGGGACAAAGCCCCAGGAGGATCCAGACCCCCTGAGCTCTGACTCCAAGACCCCTGGAGACCCCTTCTGGGAGGAGGCCTGAGCTGGACCAGCCCCGGCACTTGTCCCCCTCCTCTGCCCTTGCATGGAGTGTGTAACCTTAGGGAAGGAAGGACAGATGTCCCTACCCCCCACAGGCCCTTTGCCGCTGAGGTCTCTTCAGAGCCCCGTTTTCGCTGTGAGGACCTGCGAGGCTCTGGCCACTGGTCCTGCCACCTTGACTTCTTCGCCTGGCTGTAAAGGAGAAATGTCTGGACTTCTCACAGGGTATCATTTGCCTCAAAGCACCCCTGCAAAGTGTGTGGGCCACCCCTCCTTTTATGGACACGGATACTGGATCAGAGCTGGAAGTGGTGCTACAAAGCCCCAGGTGGAGCACAGGTCCCTTGTTATTTGGAGCCTGAAGTGCAGGTCTCCTGACCTCAGAATCCAGTTGTTCCTACTTGCTGGGCTGCCTCCTGGAAATCTGGCCCTGGATTTAGCTCCTACCTAACAGCTTCAGCCTGGGCCCTTCTCCTCTTGGCTCCCTCCCAGGCTAGAGCTTCTGCCTAGTCCCAAACAGGAGTTGGAAAAAGGGGAGCAGTGCTGTAGGTTTCCAGCACCTAGAGGGTAGACTGAGGCGACAGCCTCAGCCTCAGCATTGCTCGCCTTGGAGTCTGGATCCAGCCAATGGTGGAAGAACGGCCCTGGAAGGCTCTTCCTTCATCTCTCACCCAAATTCCTCTGCTTCTGCCTGCTCCAGCCCACAAACTACCTCACCCCACCCCACCCCACCGTGCACCTTCTTCCTAGTCCATCCCTGGCCAGTGACAGGCCTGCAATGTGTATAGCAAGCACTTCATAGTTTGTAGCAAAGCTGAGTCCCACTTTGCAGATGAAAAGACGGATATAGAGCAAGATCAAGGGACTTGAACAAGTCTACTCAGGGGGGAGCCAGGTCTTTGAGCCCAAGCCCAGTGGTGCCAGGTCCCCGTGGTGGGGATGAGTACTGGTCTTGACTCCAGACAGACCCGGGTTGTACTCTCAGCTCTCCTTTGACCAGCTGTGTGTAACCTTGAAAAAGTTCTTTCCCCTCTCCACGTCTCACTTTCTTCATTTGTAAAACTGGGTGTGTGAGAATTAAATGCTTTAATGTATCTCACGTGCCTATCCCAGAGCCAGGGCATACAGTAGGTGCTCAGTGAATGTCCTTTTTCCTCCTTCTGTCATCTGCACACCCCAGTGCTTCGCCATCTCCATACAATTTACACAATCCCTTCCCTTGATGGGATGTCAGCTGTGAACCTTGAATTTCCCCTCCAGAGGAAGCTGCATACAGTAGGTGTTCAATAAATGCTTGCTGGGGTCAGCTAAGAAGCCAATTGCTGTTGTTCTATGGGGATTTTGACAAACCTGAGCACTCCTATCCAAACACCCTAGAAGGTCTGGGGCAGGAGCTGTACCCCAATGGCCTCAGGGACAATAAAGCCATAAGTCCACAACTTGTCCTTTGTTCTCCCTCCCCCGAGTCAGCAAGACACCTGGCCCTTATTAAGGACTAATTACTGGCCAAGTATGGGTCTGGGGTTTGTGAAGCAGCTTGGAAGACTATTTGGAAGGAAGGTGTTTTCTTTTTAGGAATGAACAGGAAAGAAGGCTTTTGCTCCTTTATGAATCAAAAATTTTGGTTGAGATGTCCACAGGTCCCATGTCCCCCATCTCTGGTCCCTACCCACCCACAGATTTGTCCATCACCACCAGGACCAGGAGTCCTTTGCCTGTCTGGGGAGCCTCCAGACAGGGAGTTGCTGCCCACAGCTGAGGTTCAAGTCGGGATTAGCTCAGAGCATCCCCTGCCTAGTTGCCAGCTGAGCAGAGAAACACAGGCCTGGAAAAGCAATGCAGTCAGCTCTGCAGTCATGACCCAGCTGCCGCCTACACTGGGGCTTCCCGCTTTATGAACGTTCACCTAGGACTGGAGATGTGGCTCAGTGGTAGAGTGCTTGCCTGGCATGCTGAAGGTCCTGGGTTCGATCCCCAGCACCACAAAAATAAATAAACCCGCAAACCAACCAACCAACCAAACAAAAAACCCCAAAATCATTCAACCTGGTCTCTTGATCCCCTGGGTAGTGGGTGTTCTGGACAGATGAAGATCTCAGTACGAAAGGGATGCTGGGGCTCTGGAACTTGACCTTTATTCAGCCTGTAGTCTGGTATTTGAACGCTGGACCAATGCTGAGCAGTCATACCAGGCAGACTGGCAGAAAGTTGAGGTGCCCATGGTGCTTGGGAACTGATCTCTGCCCACCTCCCGGCCTGCCCTTCAGTCTCTGCCCTAGCGCCCTGGGTATTTTTGTCCTGAGCAGAGCTGACCTGGGCTCCCTGGCACCCTGAGGCCTGGCTCATGCCTCTCTTCTGGCTGCCAACTTTGCCATGACTGTCCAGATATCCTTGGTGACCATCTCTGACTGCCCCTGCCTCCCTGGCCACATCTCACCTTCCCCCCCAGGAAGTCCTCCCTGTCCTCCCTGGAGTACTGATCTCTTGTTTTTCCTTGTTATTGTTTGTTTGAGATAGGGTCTTGCTATCTCAAGCCTGGGATAGCCTGGAACTTGCTAAGTAGCCCAGGCTGCTCTTGAACTCATGATCCTCCTGCCTGGGCCTCCCAGGTGCTGGGATTATAGATGTGCGCCATAATCTATACCTGGCCTCCCAGGTGCTGGGATTATAGATGTGCGCCATAATCTATACCTGGCCATGGAGTACTGATCTCTGTAGTTCTCCTAGTTCCCTTCGGCCTGAGTAGCCTCCCCTGCTTCTGCCCCAGACTGACCCCTTCCAGCAAGGCACAGGACAAGGCACATGGCGGGAGGGGAAAGAAGGCAACTCAGAATACCCTAGAAGAAAGAAGAGGGATTGCCCCTACCCATGAGTGAAGGAGGATTCAGAATTCTCTGAAGCTAGCTAGGTATGGTGACATCCACCTGTTATTCCAGCAATGTGGGAGGCCATAGGTAGAAGAATCAAGGTCTGAGGCCCGACCCAAGCAAAAATGCAATACCCTACCTGAAAAATAACTAAAAAAGGCAAAAAAAGGGCTGAGGGTACGGCCCAAGTGGTAGAGTGCCTGCCTTGATTCAAACCCCAGTACCACCAAAATGCTCTCTGAAGCTACAATGACCTGGGATGTGTGCTGCCTCAGTTTCCCCACATGGTCTGGGAGAACAAGATATCAGAAAGCCCTCTTTCCCACCAGCATTCAGCCATGCTTGCTGGCCAGGCACTTCAGGTCACTTTACCCACTCTGGCAGTGGCTGCAGCTCCACCCTGTCCTCAGTCAGGGTGTTTTGCACCCTGACCGCCTGGGCTCCACCCAAGAAGCCTGTGTCCAATGCCAGCTTGCTGGTAAATGGTGTGTGCTTGTGCCCTAGATGGGGCGGTGCCTGAGCAGAGGGTGCTTCCCGAGGCCTGGCCCTCAGAGAATTGGGTCTCTGCCATGAAGGACACAGAACCCTGGGCACCACCGCTCAAAGGGACGTGGGCGTGGGCTCCTTGGCCCTGCAATCTCGTGACCAGGAGCTCCGTCTCAGCAGGCCCCAGGCTGGGACCTTTGACAGGAGCCTCTGTTAGGAGTGGCCTAGCTCCTGCTCTGGCTGAGGCATCCATGGGGCTCCTCCAAGTGCAGCCAGCCAGGCTGAGGCGGGCGGGAGCAGCAAGTCCCAACAATTACACAATTCAGAAGCTGAAACGTCTTTTCTGCTTTCTTCAGGAGCAGGCTGTGAATGGGAGGCAGTGGAGAGCTTTGCCTGGCCCCGGGGGGGCGGGGGCAGGCTCTGAGTCATGCCCAAACTGTGCTGAGAATACGGTAGGGGTTGGGGACCCTCTTGGAGCCTCTGTTCCCCAGAGCAGGCTCTTCTCTGCCACACCACATCCACATAGGCTTGTGGCTTCAGTGGCTGTGACCAGCTGGCCACAGCTGACTCTCCCTGGGGTTGTACTATTTCTAAATATTAGTTCATGCTGTTAGCCCTTGTCCAGCCTTCTGGTGCACATCCGCTGCCTGCAGACAGCCTCTGGGAGTGGTCTGAAAGGTCCCCATCTGAATGGAAAATTTGTGAATGTGCTTGCTTAGACTCTGGCAGAGAGCAGGCACCTTGGGGGACTGGGGGCGGGGTGTCCCAAAAGGATGACAAGTACCTGCTCTGGACAGAGACTGAGGCTTGCAGTGGGTATTAGGAGATGTGGATCTGAGCTGGCGGTCAGGCAGGGCAGTAGAAGGAATGTGGGGTTAGGAGCCAAGAATTGGGTCCTGCCAAACTTTTTCTGTGTGGCCTCAGACAAGTCACATCACCTCTCTGTAACGTGTAGAGCCATGTGGTGTTTGGACGATGGCCTCCATCGGAGACGCTGGGGTTTGTAAGCTGTAGAGGGCAGTGCCTGGGGGGTTACAGTGATGGTAGCAGTTTATGCCCAGGTTCTGCTCTCTGTGTGACTCTTGGGAATCCCTTGAGAGATGAGGCTGACAACCAGGAGGGACCTGGAGCCGACTAGCAGGGCTGTGTTAGCTGACCTGGGGCTGTGGGGACGTCACCCTAACAAGAGTGCATAGCGTGGACTTCAGCCCCTGACATTGTCCTGTGGTAGCCAGACTCCAATGACCCTTTCCTGTTGGCATTCGTGTTCTGCATAGTCCCCTCCCTCCGTGAATAGGGCATAGCCAAGAGGGCCTGGCAATATGATGGTGTGGCTTCGAGGCAAGGACATAGAGGACTCAGTGGCTTCTGCTTTGCTTCCTCTGGTTGCTTGCTCTGGGGTGGCCAGCTGCTGTGACCTAAAGATGGTGAAGTATGTGAAGGGACTACAGCTAACAACTGGCCCCATTTATGGGGGATGTGGCTCTGCCAGCCCCAGTTATACCTTTCCATGACCCGCTGACACCTTGATTGCCACCTCCTAAGAGACCTCAAGCTGGAGCCCTGCCCTCCCCCAGCAAAACCTTTCCAAACTCCCTGACCTCCCCCACTGTGTGTGACAGGAGGAGATGGCTGTTTTAAGCTGTTGGCTTTGAGGATAATTTGTTATGTGGCACTAAAGGACTGATACAAACCTGTACAACTGTGAGTAAGTCCTGGCACCTAGGAAGCAGGGCTCTGTTCTCAGATGGAGGAGTGCTACTTCCCTGATCAATCAATGGGTCAACTTACATTCACTCAACAACCACTTTTCTTTTTGGGGATGCTGGGGATTGAACCCAGGGCCTTGTACATGCCAGAAAAGTGGCCTACCACTGAACAACACCTCCAGCCCCAGCCCTACAGATATCTCTTAAGCATAGACCAGATGCCTGATGCTGGCACTGGACACACAGGGGTGAATAGCAGACAGGAGCCTGGCTTTACGGGACTTAAAGACTCCCTGAAGTCACTTGGTAACTGGTTGGATTGAGGAGTAAGGACAGGAAGGTGTCCTGGACAAGCCCAGTTCCTGAGTGGGGCACTTGGGTAGGTGGTGGAGTTTTCTTTTGCTGCACTGGGGTTTGAACCCAGGGTCTCACATGTGCTTGGAGGTGCTCTACCACTTGAGCCTCTCTACCGGTCCTTTTTTGTGCTGGGTATTCTAGAGATAGGGTCTCACAAACTACTTGCCCAGGGTGGTTTTGAGCCTCGATCCTCCCTAGTAGCTAGGATTACAGGCATGAGCCACCTGGCACCTGGAAGTTTTATCACATTTTTATTCTTGTCTGTGGATCTAGATCATTTTTCCTGAACCATTTGAGAGTGTGTTGCATAAATAATTTTTCCCCTAAACAGGTTGGTGTGTATTTTCTAGGAACAAAGGCTTCTTTTGTAACAGGAGTGCAATGAATGCAATCAGGGCATTAACTTGCACAGGACTTGGAGTAAGCCACAACTTTGATTTCTGGTTTTGCCAAGTTCCCAAACAATATCCTTTAGAGCAAAAGCAAACCCTGGCTTTGGTGTTGCATTGTTTGTCCTATGTTTCATTTGTTAATCTGACACAGTTGTTTCTTTGTGTTTTATGGCACTGCCATTTTTGGCAAGTTTGGGCCAGTTATTTTATGGAGTGAATCTTTTTTCGTTTTGCTTTTGGGGCTGTACGAGCGATAGAACTCAGGACCTCACACTTGCTAGGCAAGTGCTCTCCCCTTGAGCCTCCTTTTACTTGTTTTACTTTGTTTACTTTGTCTTGCATTTTTTCCCGGGTTGGCCTCAGACCATGATTCTCCTACCTCCGCCTCCCAAGTAGCTGGGATTATAGGCATGAACACACCGTGCCTGCTTGTCTGGTTTCTTCGTGATTAGATTCAGATTACGTATGCATCCTTGGTGGGAACACCCAGAAGCAGTAATGCGCTCTTCTTAGTGCATCCCACTGGGAGCACTGTGAACGTCCCACCATGGCTGTAGACACATGAGGCGGTGTCTGCCTGGCACCACCTTCTGGGTGAAGTTACTGCTTTTCCTTTTGTGATTAATAAGCATTTGCCAGTGTTGAAAGGTCAAGGTAAGGAGGAAGAGCCAGGAGAAAGCCTATGAAGGGGCAGCCAAAACCAGGGAAGGGAAGCTAGGGAAGAGGGAACCAGGAAGAGGTGCCAGGTAAAGGAAGGACTCATCAATCATTTTGGTCCAGCACTGCCAGAAGAGGCTGAGAAGTGTCCACTGGATGCCGTGGCCACATGTTGGTCAGTGGGAATTGAGTCCGGCCTCGTATGGGTGGAGCCATGGGCCTGAAGCCAACTTGCAGTGAGTCAAGGGAGAAAGGGAGTCGGAATTAAGAGCACAAGGGAAAGGGCCCTTTTTTGGAAGTTCGAGGACTGGGCAGATAGGGATAGGTGAGGATGGAGAAGTGTGAGATCAGGGGAAGGTTTTTAACGGGTGGAGGGGACTTTGGCTATCAGAGAGTGATAGGAAGGCACCAGAAGAGAGAGGGAAGACCAAGGAGATGAAGGTGGCCTATCCACAGAGCCCCAGGTGGAGGTAGAAGTGTGAGCAGATGCCCGGGTGTGGATGCGGTGGGGAAGGTTCCAGCTCAAGTCCAGTCTGGTGGCCTCTCTGTTCTCTGTGAGGAGCAGGTGAGCAGGGGATGGAGGGAGGGCCGGGCAGGCAGAGGGGAACGAGCCATGCTGGGGATGATCTTTGGGAAGAGGGGAAGCAAGCTGACCCAAGGTGGGGGCAGCCATCAGTGAGGACTGAAGGCCTGAAGGCAGAAGGGGCCTGAAGGTTGAGGAGGGGTGTGGGGTCAGTGATGGGGCCCCTTGTGCAGTGAGAGTGCAAGAGAAAGAAATGAGAGCCAGGAGCTCCAGACGGTATCCAGAGGGAGGTGGTGAGAAGCCAGAGTTGCTGTCAGTGACAGGGGCTGAAAGAAAGTCTGGGAGCTGGGAGGACAGTGAACTGATTAGGGGTGGTCCCTGGGGAGGTGTAAGTCACCTGGGTAATGGCAGGAGTTGGGGGTGGGGTGGAGGCAGCCATGAGCAGAACCACCAGGTTTATAAGGGAGAGACAGGTGGCCAGCGTCCTCTTGCTCCTACCGTGGGGACCTCTTCCCTGGCTCAGATCAGTTGTGAAAACCCCAGGACCCCAAACCTAATCACGTGTCCTGTCACACTCCCCACCCCAGGGGTGCTCGTGGCCTCAGTGCTCCTTTTCTTACCTCCTATTAGATATAGCTGAACTGCCACCAGGAAACAAGTGTTTTTTAGCTACACACAGATCTTAACAATACCATGCTCTGGGAAAGAAGTCTGGGAAGGAGCTGTCAGACAGTCACACCTTAGTGTGAAATAGTTGGTTTAATCTTTTGCCAAGGGAAAAACAGACTTTTTTTAGAAGGGAGGGCATCAGAGCCTATGGAGATAGATGGGAAAGGCAAAGGGTAGAGAGCCCCAAGGGCTGTGCAAGTGGCAGGAACTCTGTACTCATGACCCACCCACCCTTCCTATCCCTGTCCCCAACCTAGGGCACCCACTGGTAGTGACAATCTGGCTCCCTTTCCCTCCCCTGGCCCAGGGTCCTGGTGACCTCCAGGTCGGGGATAGTGACATGGAGCTGAGTTCTCAGGGCTCCACAACTGGGTTTGCAGTGTAGAACTGTACGCCACGGTTTGAGCGCCATGGCAACTGGGGGAGAGAAACACTCTGTTTCAGAGTCCAAGTTCTGCTGTGATGTCATTGCCTGCTCCAGTCGCTGGACCTGCCGCTGGCTGTGCCCCAAGCAGTCTCAGCTGCACAAGTCCCAGGCCCGGCTTCGTGCCCGGCCCATCGGCAGTCTCTGAGGAGGGGAGGAGTGGACAGAGGGGCCTGGGCAGGGGTACCCGGCTCCTGGCCCGCTCAGACACTGGTGGACCTGCCACGGCCCCTTCCCAGCCTCAGTCATGAAACTGTTGAAGGGGGCCAGGAATTCAGTGTTTTATGGGCAGCAGCCAGAGGAGAAAGTGCAACTGCCCTCTTGGCAGGAAGTAAAGCAGACCCCGGTCGTCCTGGCCACCCTCAAAGGTGAGAGCCTGCCTGGGCTTTGAGCAGCCTCCTCTAAGGGCTGCTGGTGGCTGGGCGGGGGTGCTGTCTGCTAGCCTGCCTCTCTCTCTCTCTCTCTCTCTCTCTCTCTCTCTCTCTCACTCTCTCTCTCTCCAGTGCTGGGAATCTAACTCAGAGCCTCACGCATCCTAGGCAAAGTGTCTACCTCTAAGTGACACCTGCAGCTGTAACCTTAGCTGTTTTTATTTCCTTTCAATCTTACTTTCAATGGAGACTGTTCAAATTAATTTTTACTAAGTTGTTATTGACGGATATTACTTGAAGTGGGACATGGGATAAAGTAGTGGGTTCAATGTTTGAGCTCTGTTGTTCGATTGAGAAGTCTTCCATTACCGGGTGTGTAACTTTGGGTGGATATCACTAAAGCCTCAGCATTCTCATCTGTAAGATGGGAGAAACGAGAGTTCCTTACAGGGTTGGTCGCGGGCTTGACTGAATAAGCCATATCAAATGCTTACCATGAGATTTGGTACAGAGGAAATTCTTAATTAATTGCAACAGCTAGTTTCCCTTCCCTTTCCCTCCCCTCCCCTCTCCTCCCCTTCCCTTCCCTTCCCTTCTCCTCCTCCTTCCTTTTCTTTTTTGGCAGCAGTGGGGCTTTTTGACCTCAGGGTCTGCACTGGCTGGACACACCTTCAGCCCTTTGTGTTTCTAGGTTATGTTTTCAGATAAAGCCTCCTTTTTTTTTTTTTGCCAGGGCCAGCCTTGTACTGTAATCCTCCTACCTATACCTCCCATGTAGCTGGAATGATAGGCACGTATCACCATACCTAGCTTATTTGTTGAGATGAAGTCTCGCTAACACTTTTTGCCGGGGCTGGCCTCAAACAGATCCTCCCAATCTCTGCCTCCTGAGTGTCTGGGATTGCAGGCGTGAGCCACCATGCTGCTGCTGTTTTTCCTTCTCCTTCTCCTTTTCCTCCTCCCTCCTCTCCTTCCCCTCCCCCTCCCTCCTCCTCCTCCCCTCCCCCTCTCCCTTCCTGTTAATTTTCTTATGCACCACAACCCACTGGAAATTGCATTTTCCTTGGCATACCACCTTCCTCCCAAGGAGGCAGCAGGACTGTGAGGTCCAGCACTGTCAGGTCACTAAGATTGAAGCCCCATTGTTCCCAAGTGCAGGGGCTTTCCCTGCCTGTGATTGGTGGGCTCAGACTAAAGGCTGCCCTGTCTGTCCTCACAGGTCCCGGGCCTGCCAAGTACCTGCGGCCATCCTGCACAGGCTACATAGGCCATGACAGCTCCATGTTCCAGGAACCAGCCTACACCATGTGCACCCAGCACTCAGAAAAGCGTGAGCGGACACCCCATTCAACCACGTGGGGATGGGTTGCTGTTGGAGGTTGTGGGCACAGTGAGAGGCATGAAGAGGCACAGGTCTGCCCTGAGTGGGACAGAAGAAAGCTGTCCCAAGGCCTGCAAGCTTGGATTCCCAAAAGGCCTCTGACGGCGGCTCTATGGCCATCTCCCTGCCAGATGTGCCAGGGAGCAGTGGAGGACCGCCTTGGCTGGTAGAGCAGGGCCTCTTTCCTTCAACTCTGGCTGCCATGTTCTGCTGGGTTCACTTATGGCAGTCTTGGTCAGGAACACTTGAGGTGGGGGACAGTGGGGACGTGGTAGCATGGTGGCCCCAGAGCTTCCCACATGACCTAGAATCCCCCAGGAAGGAGAGGAGCAGGGGGGAGCAAAGGAGCCCTGAGGCTACTGGCCAAGGCCTCTGGGAGGGGAGGCTGGGCAGGGTCGTGGTGGTGTGTCAGGGGGTCTGAGGCCTAGAGCCCCTACCCTCCTCCCTGAGAGACATCCTCCTAGACTGGGGACTCCCCTGGCCAGGACCGGGTCCTCTCTCGGACTAGCAATGGCTACTGTGGTTATCACAGCCCCTTGCCTGTCGTTGTGGTGGGCACTGTTCACACTGCCGTGCCACTCCACTGAACAAGCTCTACCGAACGGCAGTCATGTGACAAAAGTCACCTTGTACAGATGAGGACATCAAGGGTCCCCAGACACTGAGGAGCTAGAGGGATATGAAGGGAGCCCTTGGTCCCTTGGTGGGGTCTTCCCTGGTGGAGGCCAGTTCACACTGGGGCAGCTCTGGGGCTCACTGGGCCCCTTGTGGCTCCCGCAGGGATCACAGACACCTACAGCCCGGGGCCTTGCTACTATTTGGATCCCAAAATAACTCGGCTTGGAATGTCCAGCTGCCCACAAGTCCCCATGGAGGAACGCATCTCCAACCTGCGTAAGATGGGCGGGGGAGGAAAGTGGAGGAGTGGACAGGGACAAAGCGGGGGCCTGTGAATGCCGGCATCTCCCTCGATGTTACGTCAAGACACCAATGTCCTGATGTCGACATCACCATATCTGGATCACAGTTTTTACTCCTAGAAGCCAGTGTTATGTCTTGTGTTATGAAGTCGTGTCAGCATGGCCATATTGTCATGCTAAGGCACCCACAGAGCTAGTGCTTGTAGGGGCAGTGCAGGCATGCTGATAGCCTAAGGGTGATGCAATAAGGATACTGATGGCTCCTGGTGACCATCTTGCTATCCTCTCCCTGCTGGTAGCTCCCTGCAGGGGTCCTGAAGCCCCTGCCCTGCTGCTGAGCTAGGTGTTCCAGCTGAGCCAGACCTCAGATTGCTCCTTGGACCCAGCAGCTGGGTCCTGGGACTGTGAGTCCCCTCCCCCGCCTTTTGCTCATTTTCAGGCTTGTGCCCCACTCTGGCCCCCTGCCACTACGAGTCTGAGAAGATCCACCCCCCTATGGAACGCAGGGCTCCCCAGTACACTTTTGGCTACCGGTGCCCAATCAGGGTGATGGACTCCAATCCAGCCCCCAACCAGTACCAGCTGCCACTCTCGCTGGGGCCCAACACTCCTTCCTACCGAGCCGCCCCCTGCTATAGCCTGGCCTCCCAGAACAAGAATTGGTTTCACAAGGAGAATATATCAGGAGGTCCTGGACCTGCCATGCACACCCGGCCCGAGCCGTCCATCTACCAGAACCGCAGCCCTATCTACAGTATGGCCAAGCGCTTCTCCTACCCACTGGACCACACCCTGCGGCCTGGCCCCGGCTCCCACGATGTCCAGCAGGTCACTGTGCACAAGCCCCGCCCGCCTGCTTTCACCATGGGCTCCAAGCACTCCCCCCACCTGTGCCCACTGATCATCAACATTCGTGACTGAGGTTCCTGCTCACGCCCCCCCTTGCACCCCCCAGATGTTACTTTTCTATACCAAACTGAGCGACCTGATTCCAGCAGTGAACGGCACTAAATAAACAGTTTTGTTTATGAGTTTCTTCATCCTGCAAACACTTGACTCTTCCTTGGTTCCTGCTCTGGGTGAAGGGCTGAATCTGGTCCACCAGGGATGGTAGCCACGTGTCCTTCAAGAGGCCCTGGGCACAGACACTCCACAGAGCTGAGTTCCAGACACACTGTGTGGTCTTCATGGTTCCTGTTCCTCTGTGGGCTTCAGAAAGGGCCTGGGGTGGCCCAAGTTCTTCCCAGTTCTAGAACGGCGTGACTGATTCCTGTTGGTGGCCAGTCCCCAAGGGAGGAACGGGGAGTTAATGTAGATAGAAGAGCGAGAGGTCATTCTGGTTGGGGTGGGGTTCCTAGGGAGGACCCAAGAGGACCATCAGAGCAGTGGGTGGGGGTGGGTAAAGGTGGTGTGAAGGTGACAGCAACAGCCTGCAGCAGGGACCAAAAGGAGCAGGGCCAGGGAACCGGGGGAGGCTTGGAGCAGCAGGAGCCTGGGGTGCAGGAGCCTGGGGTGCAGGAGGCTGCACTGATCCTTGGGACTAGTTGGGCTTTGTGCTAGAGCACAAGATAAAATGCTACAAAACACAGGGGTTTTATTTTATTCTGTTTATTTTTGGAAGTACTGGGGCTTGAACTCGGGAGCTACACCTTGAGCCACTCCTCCAGCCTTTTTTTGTCATGGGCATTTAGAGATAGGGTCTCTTGAACTATTTGCCCAGGCTGGCTTTGAACCTCGATCCTCCTGATCTCCTCCACCTGAGTGGCTAGGATTACAGGCGTGAGCCACTGGTGCCTGGTGACTTTAGTTCTTTTTCAAATAGGGTCTCATGTTTATGTTGTGGCAGGCCTGGACCTCGATCTTCCTATTTTTATTTCCTGAGTAGTTGGGATGACAGGCATTCACCACTGTGTCCAGCTTTTTTTTCTTATTGGTTGAGATGGGGTCTTGTGAACTTTTTGCTTGGGTCTGGCCTTGAACCTTGATCCTCCTGATCTCTGCCACCTGTGTAGCTAGGATTACAGGTGTGAGCCACCATGCTCTGATTTTATTTTATTTTTTGACAGGGTTTCACCATGTAGCCCAGGGTGGCCCTGAACTCTCAGTCCTCCCTTCTCAGCTTCCTGAGTGCTGGGATTAAGGCGTGTTCCACCACTCCAGGCTAAGGTACACTGTTTTTGAAAGGCTCTTTGGGCAGGAAGAGAGAGCTGGCCAGGATGGACAGAGCCTGGAGGCTATGGTCGGCCTGTGGCCTGCTAGGAGGGGGATCTGACTGTCACATGCAGTGTTTGGAGTCCCTTGTCATGTCTTCTGCCTAGCCTGGCAGAGATCTGTGAAGTAGCCAGGAGGGGGCAGCACTGCCTCAGTCTTCAGGGCCAGGCCCGAACCTACCTGCCTTCAGGTGCACAGGCACCAGCTCTCCTGTTGGTTTTTGGGGAGGCTAGGGTCTCATGGGCTGGCATTAGTCCTCCCTTAACTGTTGTCATCTGATCCCCAATTTGCCTGCGCCCCTGGACCAGCCCTTCTCCCACTCCCTGGTCACGGAAGGTGTGTGTGAAGGTGGATCTGATCTGGCAGCCAGAGGCCGGTGGGATGCATCAGGGCTCAGAGGCTGGGAACCATGAAGGGAGGGGGAGAGGGGTGAGAAGAGCCCCCAGACCCAGCTGCTCACGCTTATCCTTCTGCAGCCCTTAAGCAAGCACAGAGGGGACGGAAAGAATGGGCCATTGTCTAGTACCAGTGGTCGTCCTTGTAAAATTGAGTCACAGAGGTATTTATCTACTTGTTTATTTATTTATTTATTTTGAGACACAATCTAACTATGTAGCTTAGGCTGGCCTTGAACTCCAGTCTCCTGGGGGCTGGAATTACAGGCATGCCTCACCACACCTGTAAATTCAGGTTTTATCTAAAAATGAAAATTGAATTGAATAGACATAAGTTTGGACAGGAAGAAGCAGACAATATGTTTGTTTAGAATATACTATAAAACAACAATATTTAGGAAAAAGGCTTGTAGAACCCGGCCCTGGGCTCCTGCACGACTCTAGCCCTGAGGTCCTCCTCACAACCCCTCGAAGGCCCTGGCTACAGTGTCTGTCCCATTCTTTCTGTGCCTCAGCAGGCCTGGCCTGGACAAGCTCTTCAGAGAGTGAGCCAGCTCAGGGACCCATCTGTCTTGCAGCAGATTAGAAAGATGTCACTTTGTGGACAATGCCATTTATCACAGCGGCTGCAAAAATTAGTGATGCTTGGGCTAGAAGTGTCGGGTGGGGGTAGGGCAGGCAGGTGGCAACAGTTGATGCTCCCCTGTGTCACCAGGTGAGGGGAGCTGCAGGTCAACCTCTGAACAGGACATTTCTGATGAGTGCCTGACTCAGGGCAAGGCCCCCACTGGAAAGATGAAGAAACTGAGGCTCAGAGTCTGGAAGTAATTTTGGCCACATCTCTAAGTAAATGTCCGAGCTCAGTGTGTGACAACAGCCAGCATGCAGTCTGTGACCACAGCAGGGACTCAGTGTGGGGTTAGATCGTTTATATGCCTCCATGACTCGGTCTGGGATGAACTCTCAGCCTGGTGCCTGGGGTCACCAGATATGGGCAGGATTGGACACAAGCCCCAGAGCTACAGCAGACTCTTGGGATGGGCTCGTGGTCCCAAGGGAAGGAGGAAGAAGGATGGTTCAGAATGAATCTTTAGGGGAGGAAGATGTTCAGATGAGGGATGGACCCACCAGGGAAGACAAAAGGGCTCTGTCGTGCCCCAGCCCACAGGTGACAGGTCCTATAGCTTAGGATTGGCCATCTACAAAGCAGCCCCCACTGGGTTTGCGTCCCCTGTAGTGGTGCCTCAGACAGGCAAGCTCAAGATCAGACAGCCACAGCCTCATTCATGGTTGACTTGGCCCATTTTGAATGACTCCATGGGCACAAGCATGATCTTGAAGGAGGCCCTCATGTGATCCTTATAGGACTTGAGACTGAACCTTCAGGTAACTAGGCCCCAGAACCTGGTGCTTGCTCACACAGACGTGACCATTCATTCATTCATTTATTCATTCAACAAACACTGCCAAGTCCCTGCTCTTTGCCAGGCCCTGGCCTCCAAGAGTTGAGGGTGGCCCAGTGGAAGGATGAGAGGCAGCTCTGTCTCTCTCTAATAGAAGACTTGGAGGGTGCTGAGGATCAGCACCTGGCAGGGGACCCTCAGAGTTTCTTCCCTTCTCTCTAGGGGGCAGGGGGAGACCTGGCCTCTAGTGGGGGCACCCCAGCCAGGGCTTGGTGGTAAAGGGTGCAGAGATAGGAGGATCAGACAGTAGGTGGGGGAGGGGGTGCCCTGTGGGTGCATCCCTTTGATTCCTGGGGGGTGGGAAAGTGCCTGGCCTGGCTCCCTGTGCTGGAGAATTGACCCCTCCTGTCCTCCCAGCTCCGTGTCCCAGTCTCTCCACTCTAGCTGTCCTCCCGCTGGGTTTTCCTGCCTTCCTCTGGTCTCTCCCTTTCTCTCTCTCTCTCTCCCTTCCTCTTGCTCTCTGTGTCCCTCTACCCTGTTCATGCTCTAGAATAAAGATCGACATTTTCAATTACCTCCAAAATAACACAGCCGTTCTTGGAGGCTGAGTCCAGGGGTGGATTGTGTGTGTGCGCGCGCGTGTGCGTGTGAGAACACGTGTGTGCACGAGGGCACTTGTTTGTGTGTGGGGGCCCCTGGGAAGGGGTGTGGTGTCACCCACCCCTTCTCTGTCCTTTGTCTGAATCTTCTTTTCTGGAGCCTTCATTTCTTCCTTGGAGATTGGAAGCACATTCCCCTTCAGGGGAGGAAGGGAGACAAAAGAAGGAAATAAAAAACTGTCACCGCTGTCTTGTAAACACAGTGTGCCGTGTGGAGCTCATCAGGAGAGGACGGAGGGAGAGGTAGGGGCCGAGGAGAGGGGACTGGGAGAGATGCAAGTGGGAATCACAGAGCACTGGGGGTGTTGGAGGGGAGAAAGGCGATTCTGGGTGGCTGGGTGCCACAAAGAGAAGAAGGCATGGCTGCCACAGGGAGAAGAGAGATGAAAGAGTTGATCTGGGACTGTGGAGGGGGTTTGAGGAGGGAGACACAGAGGTCCAGGTGAGTAAGATAGACAGGTCTGTTCTCACAGGGTGTAACATCCACCAGAAACGTGCTCAGCACTTGTTATGGGCCAGGCACTGACATAGGAGAGGATCAGAGAGTGTGGGCAACCTGCCCAGTGACACACAGCCAAAGGTGATGGACCCAGTATTCCAGCCCAGGTCTGTCTGTCTGCAGTCTTCCTTTCACACAGTCTCTGCTGTGGGCATGGGGACTTGCCTCTGTCACATCTGGTAGTGTGAGCTGGTGTAAGTCCTCCCTTCTCTGGGTCATCAGTTTCCCCATCTGACAAGTGAGGAGAGTGCTGGCTGCTCTCCAGGGCTGTGGGGAGGATCAGATGTCTGGATGGGATGATCCGTGCTCCGGTTCTCCCGCTGCAGGTGTGGAGGAGTGGAGACCACCAGCACTGGAAGAGGCCTGGCCAGCAGCCTCGCTGCCTGCTAAGCCGCTGAACTCCAGCTCTACTCCCTGCTGCCGTCCAGTGGCAAGAATTGGGTACTGCAGGGGAAGGGGCTGAACCAGTTTCCTGGTCCCCTGGGGGATCAAGGCCAGAGCTGGAAGGCTTCTATGGGGACTATTGTCAGATCCCTGTCTTGCAGGTGGCTTGTCCCAGGTCATCCAGGGCAGAAGCTTGGGCTGAGTCAAGGTGCTTCCTTCAGCCCCATGGCACTCAGAGTTCTGCATCCTCTTGCTTAAAGCCACCTCCTGCAGGGAGTACTCCGGGTCTCCTCTAGTAGGGAGGGGCCTCACCCTGCCCTGAAGCCCACACATGACCTCCTGCTTGCTCCTCCTGCTCTACCTGCCTGAA